TCTGAAAGTACAGTAATAATCTCCTCACCTCCCTCCCTCATGTTCAAACTAAACAAAGTTTCTTTCCATTCTGTGTTTTTTCTTACACTGAAAAGCTGGTCAGACTAAGAAGGAAGCTTCTTCATTGTAGAATACACGAATAAAACCTCAGAATAGTTTGGTTGAAAGGGGCCTCAAATATCACCTAGCTCCATCCAACCCCCCAAAATAAGCACCAATTTAATTTTTCAAGTATAATTAAGAAACTACAAAACCCTGAGATTCATGGTTAAATCAGAAGACCAAACATCAAAAACCTGCTCAGATTCAAGTTTGTTCCTCCACATCAGCTTATGATCTGTTTGCTGTACATAACTTTCACAAACAGTGAGAATCAGTGATGCTCAAGGTGCTTTTCATCCTAGTTTCTACAATGAAGAAAAAAAACATGGAAGAAAAATGAAAGATCATCTTTTACTGGTCACAATCCACTGGACACAGCTGTACACTTAGAGCACCGAGGCATGCACTGACAGACATTACTAGCAAAAATTACATGCCAGATATTCTAAAACGTGTAATTTAAAACCTGACCATAGTGCTCACTCCAACAACAATCAACAGTAGTTCAAATGCATCTATTGTAGACACTACTACTTAGCCTGCAGTAAATTTTGTCACAAAAAGTGAGGGAAATGGATAATGCATCATTCTACTTACAGTGAGATCTAGAGTCGGTTAAGAACTGAGATACTATTTCATGATGAGAAAAAAAATTGTGCTATTCTGTCCATTCTTTTCTACTACAACTGCACTTTGCTAACTGTTGATAGATAGTAGGATGCCTTAATTCTTAGAAGAAAGGAGAGAGTGCAAGAGAGAAAAGAAATGGATATTAGACAGATTCTTTAAGAGGTCATCAGGTGACTAAGAAACACGATTTGAGTCTGAGCGCTTCTTCCAAGAGGGGTCATTTCCAGAAACACCTGAGGACAGGTAGATCACAGCGATCAGTTCTGAAGCGGGAGCATGCCGGGCGGCTGGAGACGGATCACGAGATACCCACACCCGCACAGTGCTCACAACCAGACCTGACCGCGTTGGTACGAAACGCTGCGTATTCCCCGTGAATCCAGCGCCTACTACGCCCGCACTCGATGGCAGCCTCCCGTTTCCCCCACGCGGAGTAAGAAGAGAGAAAAACGCCTGAAGCTCGCTTGTAGTTACCACGTTTGAATTACGCTGCGAAACAAAAAGGCGCACAAAGCTAAGCCCTGGGCTTTCCAGGGCAGCACGAGGCCGCAGAGCTCGGCGCGCACTCACCATCGCTCTCCGCCCTGACTAGCAGGGACATGCCCTTCAGCCGCTCCACGTAGCAGGAGGACACATGCCCCGTGCCTCGGTCGTCCCACTGCCGGTCCTCGTTCAGCGTGTAAACCTTCACCCTGCGCCGGGTGTCAGTCATCGTGCTGCAGGCACCGCGGCCACCGCGCCGCTTCGCGAAAGCCGAGGGAGCGTGCGGGAGGCCGGGAGCCGGGCCCCCTCGCGGGGCGGCGGGAAGGAGGGCGGCAGCCCCACGCGGCCGCGCCGGGAGAGCTCTTCGTCCCGCCGCTCAGCGCTCCGACGAGATCCTCATGGCCGCGGAAGAGGAGGGCCGAGGCACGGGGAAACGGCGGGGAGAGGCGCTGCTCCGGGTCCAGCCGACAAAAGGCGGGCAGGGCACCGCGGGGAGAGGCGGCGAGGGACGGAACGCGGAGAAGGCGCGGATCCGGGGCGGCGGAAGCGGCGGGCGGCCCGGGGCCCGAGCGGGAAGCGCCGAGGCCGGACTGAGGCGGGCGGGAACAGGTCCGCCCGGCCCGGCCCAAGCGCGGCTCTTTGTGCGGCGGCCGCCCAGGCCCGGAGCCCCTCGCTCGCGTCCGTCAGCGCGGGGCCCCGCGGAGCCGCCCTCCTTCCCGCGGAGCCGGGACCGGCGGGCGCCGCTGGCCCGGGGCGGGATGAGGCGGGCGGGCGGGCTCAGCGCCCCGGCTCCCCCATGGGCTCCGGTCGCAGGCGGCGGCTTCACTCCCAGCCCGACACGGCCGCCATGTTCTTCTTCCTCCTTCTCCTCCTCCTCCTCTTCCTCCTCCCGGTGCAGCTGCGTCGGCTCAGTCCCGGCTCTTCAGCGCGCCCCGCGGCGTGGCTGCGCTCTCGACACCCGGCGGCAGAGAGGCGCTCGGCTTGGCCCGGCCCCGCCGGGGGGGCGAACGGCAGCGACGCGGCGCGGCGCGGCCCGTCCAGCCCTGCTCCCTCCGTCTCTGGCTCAGTCACTGCGCGGCCGCCATCTTGGTTTCACCTCTCACTGGAGGCGCGGGGTCTCCCAGCCAGCGGCGGCACGGGCCGCCGGCCATCATTTAAAGGGCCAGCAGCGCCGAGCGGGCGGCGGGATGGGGGCGAGTAGCACCACGAGGTTCGGCTCCGCGCGAGCTTGGCGGCACCCGTACGGTCCTGCCGCGCCCCCCGCAGCGCTCCGCCGGGATCGCGCTCAGCCGGCGCGGGCGGGAGGCGCCTGGCCCGGCTCGGAGGTGGGCGCCGCGTGTGCGTTATGTGTGGGCGGATGGGAAAGCGCCGCTGAGAGCGCTCGTTGGGAGCGCTTCTACCTCTGCCTGTCCTCATTGCACCGTGACCCCGTGTCAGGGCGCCGCGGAACGCCCAGACCCGGCTTCCCGAAAGGTTTTTATTGTTATCGTCATTTTTTTTTCCTTTTTCCCCTCTCCAATATAACTGAAAACCGAGAGTTAAACAGCTGCTGGCTTAGCGGCTGTTGCACCTCCACCGGCAGGGATAGGCTGTCACCATTGTAATAACAAACAGAAGCTGTTGAGTCTCTGGTTCTGCTGCTGCTGCTGCCAGCACCCCAGCATGTCTGACAGACTGCCCTGTGAAGGGCACAGCAGGACTGGTAGTGAGCACAAACAGTGCATTTTGGGCGCTACCTCTGCATTAGAGCCTATTTAAGAGCACATATTGAGTATGCTACATACAATGTCTTCTCTTGAGGGCAGGGAGTCCTTGAAGAGGGAGGACTAGTTAGTCAACAGCCCTAAGAAGTTTAACAAGAACCAGCGCCAAACTCTGCACCTGGGATGGGCCTATCCTGGCAGACTGGGGCATATGAGACTGGAACTGGTCATTCTGGTAGATGGAAGCTGACATGAGCCAGCAGTGTGCCTTTGCAGCCATAGGGCCAACTGTACCCTGGGGTGCACCAGGCCCACCACTGCCAGCGGGTGAGGGGAGGGGTTGTCCCATGCTGCTCTGCTCTGTGCAGCCTCACCTCCAGCACTGGGTGCAGTTCTGGGTACTATGATGTAAGAAAGACATAAAAGTATTAGTGTCCAACTGATGGCTATGAAGATGGGGAAGATATGTGAGGAGCGGCTGCAGCCCATTGGTGTGTTCAGCCCAGCCCCTCCTGAGGGGAGGCTTCATGGCGGCTTCAGCTCCTCACAGGGAGCAGCAGAGCAGTGCTGAGCATGAAGCTGTGTCTGGGGTGGGTCAAGCTGGGTTTTCAGAAGAGGTTCTTCACCAAAGGCCTGTGGGCATGGAACAGGCTCCCCAGGGCATCGCACACAGCCCCAAGCTCCAGAGTTTGATGAGCGTTTGGACAGTGCTCTCAGATACTGAGTTTGAATGTTGGGGTGGTCCTTTGTGGAGCCAGGAGTTGGACTCAGTGATCCTTGTAGGTTCCTTTCAACTCAGGATATTCTACGATAAACTTCAAGAATATTGTTCAGACATCCATAATGAGGCTGAAGGCAAGCTGTCTTCAGTTCTCCGTGTAGTGCTGCTGGCTAACACAGAGAATGGTTTGGAAAGACTAGTGCGAGAAGGTGAAGCACTCCACTCACTGCTGCTGCCACCACAGGGCCCCAGGTGGGCACCCTGAGAGGTGCTGTGCCAAGGCCCCTCCAGAGCACATCTGCAGGTGCTTTCCTGTGACTTCAAAAAACACTGATGTCAGTGAGAGAAATTTCCATGGGACTGTAACAGGACTGTAACATTTGCTCACAATTTACAAACTGTACTGTCTTGTGGGCATCAGATCAGGCATAGACTGCAGATTGCTGCAGTTATGATTCTTATGTGTTTTTGTTTGTTTTGTGAATTGAGAACAGGAAATTTGATCAGATTTCAGTTTGTGTAGGTTGCTTTGTGAAAATGTTCAGTTTTGCTTCTTTTAATTGATTTTAATTTAATAATTAACAATGTATTATTTTCATATCAGTCTAAATAATGATTTGCCCAATCATAGTGCCCTGTTAGACATAGGTAGACATAGTGCCAGGTTTTCACCAAATTCTCATTGTATCTGGCAAGCAGTTTTTTTGTGTGTTTTTGGTTTTTTTTGTTTTTTTTTCCAAATATTTCATCTAAGTGACACCAGAAGAAAGGCTGGGCATCCAATGTATCTTCCCATCCTTAAAGGCAGATGCAAAAGAAAAAGACGTGTTTTTCTTGTTGTTGTTGTTTGATTTTGTTTTTGTGTGGGCTCATGATTTAAAAGGCAAAAATATGCCAGGTTATGTCTCAATTCCTTCTCCATTTCCAGAGATCTGAAGGACTGTGAAATATCTTTGGGGATGGTGAAAGGTCACTAACTGAGTTAAAAGGTCAGGTTCCATCAGTTCAAGGACCTTGTCCTCACAGACTTTGGCTCACCAGGAACTGAGTAACATACAAAGAAATGGAGTACTGAATACAGTTTTAAACTTACCATACCTATAGAAAAGTAAATTCACATGGATCAGTATATTAAGGAATAAGCCTCAGAGGAGTTTTATAGTGAGCGCTACTTGCATGTCAGTAGGACTAAAGATCATTTTTCAACACTCACTAGTAATTTTGGCAAGGAAAATTACATTGTTATGATGAGGAACTTCAGACATATAACTTGGAGCTAAACAGTAAAAGATTACTAGAGCTCTTAAAAATCATAGTTCATGATTTTCTGACAAAAAGAAAAAGAAAAAAAAAAAGTCCTATTGGAGAAATGTACAACTTCAGAATTTATTTTGGTAAAGATAAGGTAATTACAAGCCTGAAGGAGTTCACCTGAGCATGTAGATAACACACAAGTGGACAGTGGCGGTGTCTTGTTCATAAGGCTTGTATTTTGGCTTGTTTCTCTCAAAGCTGCAGAAAATGAATGACTGAGTGAGAAGAAAAACTAGATAGAAATGTGTCAAAGCAGTGGGAGTAAAAATGAAGTTGAATGATTTAAGCCAGGATGTTGTCATGAAAAAAGACATTCAGCAAAATGCATTTCTAGTTTTGTGGGGAAGCAAACACGGCAGTCGGAAGTAAAGATATTAAAGTAGGAAATAAAGCAATCATTGTAAGAACAGTTATAAAGCATAGAAAAAATGGATGAGAAAAAGTGTGCTTGGTAATTTTAGGAATAACTCTAGTTTTCTAAATTTTACCAGTATTGTAGGCCAATATATCTAAATAGATACAGATAAGAGTTTTATCCGATCATTGAAAAAATGTATGATGGACTTCAGCATATCAAAATGACTGAGTACCTTCCTTGTCATTATTAGTATGGGCACCAAACAACATAAAGAGAAACATTCTAAAGTAGGTGAGTCATAAAGAACTTTAATTTGAGAGTATTAGAGACTGCATATGGTCTTCCACAAAGTATGAAATCATATACATTTCTAATAAAGCTCTAATTACTGCAGGAATTCTGTAAGTCCTGAAAACTGACCTTAAGTATTCAATTTGGACAGCTGAAGACACAGATAACAACTAATTTATCTGTCATGAATAAAACCAACAACAAATGCTGATACAGGACATAACAAGTTATGAGATGGGAGTACAGCAGTAGCAGCTGATGTGACTTTATAGAAAAAGAATTTGTCAAGTATATTTTATTTCTTGTTAAATTACAAAGTTGATGAAGATGGAGGTGCAGGTATAATACATTTGGATTGTTCTCAGATACTTTTCTGGAAGCTTGGCCATGTAATCTGTCAAGAAGACTCACAATGCATGAGATTAATGTGTGGAGATAGGCGCAGCTCCAACGGAATCATCAGTCAGAGGAGATGGTTGCAGATGACTACATAGAAACCAAAAGTAGGACTGCTGCTATTCAGGATTTGTTATAACAATTAGAAATTCAATGCAAAATCTCTTTGAATAAAAACTGTAGTACAGAGAGCCTGAAAGAGTTACAAATACTGTTGAGGACCCAGGGGTCAGAAACAGACAGGTTGCCCTACTAAATGCAGTCACCACCATATTTTTAAGGAAAACAGTGACACTTTGCCTTAAAACTCAGAGCAGTAGACTGACTCAAGAGCTGATGGATGAGCTGTGGTAAGCTAGGGATGTCTTGGATGTGCTGTGATGTATACCTTCTAAATAGGACCATTCAGATAGTCAAATACGAGCTCACGTCTACAGGTAGACATGCAAAGGCAGCTCTGAAAGAAGCTAGGCTGCACAGTGAAGAAGCAACCCAAAACAAACTTCTTACATCATGCTCTGTGCATAAGATCTAGTACTGTTCAGGTATATTGTAAGCTTGCAAGCTGTGTAAGAAAACAACATCAGTAAAAATAGCTTTAATGCCACACTCTTTAATTCTGTTGTCTTCACTGTTAAAAGATCTCAAGAAATTGGAGAAAGGACCATGTAAGTAACTTTGTTACTTTGCAGATGCAGGGCTAGCTCACTGCAACATCTCAGACTCCTGCCCTATGCACCGTTTTGCACCATGCCCTATGAGTCATGTCTTAGATGCTACTGTTCAGTTTTCACATCCCTCCACCAAAGCCCTAGAAGCAATAGCCCTGTTTTTGTGCCCAAACCACAGATCTGAGCCTGGGTATGTCAGCAGCTAAAATTCTGTAACTCCTTCTCCTGCATCATGTGCGTATGAATCCCCTCAACAGAAATGTCATCTCTTCTCTTTCAACCCCTACTAACATCTTAAATTTCACATTGCTGGAAAGGCCCTGATCCTGCAAGCAGTTTCCTTTTGAGAATTCTGTGCAACTGCATAGTCATGCAAAGGCTGTATTTGTTTTGAATTCTTTCATGCCCCTCTGGAAAAACGCTACACTTATCTAAATATGTAGGCCTGTTCATCAAAGACTGAGGAATTTCAAAGCACTGCTGAAGCTGTTGGATGCAGAGAATGTGTTTGGGTCATTTCTTTATCTGATAGTGAAAAGTCCTCTTTTTCTGAAGGGGGAATGGAGACATCTGAATTATGTTAGCTGTTTCTGTGCAGTGCATTGTTCAGTTTTTATATTTATTATTGTGTCTTTTGGCTGTATTTCTAACCCTCATTAGTAAGATCTTATGGCATATATATTTTTTCCTTTTTCTGTGGCAGACTTACTGCTAACTTTTGCTCCCACATACACCTCTCATTTTTTTTTTGTACAAGATTTCCTATACTTTATCTGTAACTCAAACTACAGTGGTTGGTTGGACTACAACTCTTTAGACTTGACAATTGGTGGTCTTTTGAGAAAATGATGGATAGAGTGGCAGAAATATGAGATCACAGAATCATAAAATTACAGAATCATAGAGGTTGAAAAGGGACCTCTGAAGATCATCTAGTCCAACCCCACTGCTAATGATCTATGTCATTAAGCTTGTTCTCAAGGAGCTCTGAAAGTCCACCAGAAAAAAAAAATCTCAATTTTCTTATTGTCTCGACTTCATCACCCAAAAATTAGTAACTAATGCTATACTTTTTTTTTCTTTTTTTTTTTTTCCAATAAAAATAACTTTTTATTAAAATGACTTCCTCATTCCCATGCTGGAATGGCGTGGGAACTGTTGAAACTCTTTCCAGTTTATGTGGAAAAGAAATACATAAGTGAATTTGGAGCTCAAAGAGGAAAGGGGAGAAGAAGGGACATGATCAGAGCAAGAGCAAGACTGGTACATGGACAGAGGCACATAGACACTTGTGTGTAAACACGCATACAGAGTCTCCATAGCTTGATACTTACAGTAGTTCTCTGGGATGACAGGGCTAGACCTGTGTAAATTTATGCTCAGTTTCCTGGATAAAAGCTGGTGGAACTAACAGTACTTCTGCACGTTAGTAATAAAATGTCAGAAACCTGAAAAAAAGTTTAGGGAGAAATAAAAAAGAGGAAATTGAGTTGAGCTTTTTGAAGGAAGTATTTCAGAAACAGTCATTATACTGACAGCAACTGAAATGTTTAAAAAATGATGAGTCACTTCAACATTCATGACAATGATGGCCTTAAAATGCAAGTAATTCCAGACTTGCACAGTGCACAAATTATGATAGAAGCTGCAGCTAGGTAATGTAAATAGCAGGCAGATCAGGAACACATCCTGCTATGAGAAAGGCTACTTTAGTCATCATCCAAGTCCGCCCTAGCACTTTCCATTTTGCATACAAAGGTACCAAGCAGAGGTGAGAACCTGGCACCCAGCTCTGTAATCTGTGGATGAGCTCTGCAGTAACAGAGGCTGGTATTTAGGGCAGGAAACGCAGTGCCTTCACACTGATCTCTTCTCTAGCCAAAAGTGAATGTAATTAGGCAAAATGCAAAAACAGAGTTTTGCTTTTATTGTGACCTAGAAATAACAACACAAGTTGCTTTGGCACGCCTCAACAGTAACACTGAAGTTCTCCTGACCGTACACATTCCCTGCCTGGTTCCCTGATTTTCTGTACTCATTGGCTCCTTTACTGCTCCTGCCAGGGACAGGATGTGGCAGACGTCCATAACTTCCTCAAAGGCATGACAAGTGTCAGCAAGGGTCAATTGCTAAATGTCTTCTCCAATACATAACAGAGGAACAATAATTCCAGCTGGAGAGCTGTATGGTCAAAACAAACAAAAGGTCTTCATACCTCCTTAGAGGACTGCGCTGCAAAGGGACAGCAAGAGAGCATGAGTAACTTCAGAGCAGAAGTCAGTCTGAGACCTCCTGTGACTAATGGGCAAAGGCATTACTGGCATGTGGGAGATTACCAGCAGATGGGCAGGAGGAAGGAGGCTGGGAATGGTGTGCATGCAAGTAGGGTCTGTAGCAGCACAAAAGGGCTGTGGCAACTTTCACACCCGAGTACACGATGGTACAAGTGTGGTGTGAATGCAGTTATATGTGCTGCAGGCCCTAAGGCCTCTATGGTGTGGCTGCATAGTGCACACCGATAGAAGTAGGAGTTCAAGTGCACACTTGGACATTGTTACCAAAGACAGTGTGGATGTAATTAGAAGTGTGCACCATTTCATTAATCATCACTGCAGCTGTATAGAAACTACTTAATAATTATTAAATATTTAGCTACAATTGCTTAAGCTAATTGACATGCAGGATTTATTTATAAGATTTTATGGTTTTAATTAGTGATTGAAGCTGATAAAATAAACATCAGAGAATCTGTAAGACTGTACTTCAGTCCTATCTCTTTACTACCATGTGTGTAGTACTGACCAGAAGCAGTTAAGGTGAGAAGATAATTCTTTACATTTTCTGTTACCGTCTGCATAAAACATCTTGCAAATGTTAACTATCTGGAAACTTCAAAAACAGTTTCAAAATTATAACTAAGTTCTAATAGAAAAATTGCATACATTAAAACCTGAGAAGATTAGTAATTAGTCATTGAAAAATCAGGAGTTAGTTTTAAAATAACATAAAGATCTGTAAGAAGTTCCATGTACACGCAGGGAAAGAAGTTTATCTTTTGGGTAACTTTTTGTACTTCATTTGAAAGCACTGCTCCTCCAGGTGGCAGAAGTAGCAGTTGCATTCAAAATGTATAATGGTGATACTGTGTTGATCCTTCTGAATCAATATTTCTTTGTTATATAGGTTTCCACTATATGGTTGTCTCAGAAATGCTGTGTAGCTAATAGTCCCTACTAGAAATACTAACAATTCAATAGTACTTATAAGTTGTTCCCAAAGGAACTGAGTACCTTCAATATAAAATCTGAAAGAGAAAACATTTGAAATATCTGTTAGTACTGAAATTTTATATCAAAGGGTCAAAGATTTTAATTTATTATTTCTAGTACAAAGTTAAATCATTCTCAGCACAGAAGCAGAAGAGTATGGTCATTTTCTCTTGGAAACAATGTGGGGGAGCTCAGCATATATTTTGTCTCATTTCTATGTTTCAGAACAATAGCCAGGTTGCAAGCTGGAAGGTGGATGGTCATCAACAGAAAGTAATTTCAACTATGGAATTTCAGGAAAGATGTTTTCACATAGTAGATATCAGTTGTGTTATGGCAACAAGGTATTTTGTAAATAAAAAGCTGAGCTAGCCTTATACACATTTCAGGAGTTCCTTATTCTACTGTTTCTAATTTCTTTGACCATAGGTATTTTGGGCCATAGACCAAAATAGCCTATTTTTTATAAAAGAGAATTATGAAGGCCCAAACCAGTTTGCATCTTCATGTGTTATAGTATCCCAACTGAGGAACAAAGGTAACGATGGCAACCTTTTTTTAAAGCTCTTTGTGGCTGTGTTCTGATTAGCAACGAACAACATCTTAACAAATAATCCATGCTGATGAAGGTCCCCTGCATGCAGATCTCTGTGGGGTTCTAAGGGTTGCAGGCCAGCAGCACCTTACAGTGGAATCTCTTCTGCAGGCAGGCATAGGGTTGAAGTGAGAGTTACTGTGCAATGCCTGCACTGATTGTCCCCTGCTAAAGATGCATGCAGGATCCAGGTGGAACCATCAGGAACTGTGATGGGTCCTCAGGAGAAGACCAGAGCTGCAGGACTTCCAGATCTCTGTGTAACTGGCAGGCACATTCTAGATGAGTTTGAATTTGACTAAATAGCTTCAGTTTACCATGTTTAGAAAGTTATAATATTCAAGGGAAAATGATTCTGCAAGTGGCCAAACATGCAATCAATACACTGCTGCACAAAAGAGTTCAAGCTTGACTTGCACAAGTAAAATGTTTGATACAAACCATTTCTTTACATATAAAATACAGTAATTCTTATTTTTAAACAAAATTCTACTGCAGTGAAAAAACAAGACTGTAAATGACACAGGTTACAGCCTATTTCTGGTACCTGAAATTCATTGGATAGTTGACAACAGGAAAGATCAGGAGTAGCTGACACTTTGAAATGGAAGTACTCTAATTCTTTTGGGAAAAAAAAAAAGTCATTGATGGATTATTTGTTTTGCAAAAGAAAACCCCCCAAAACAAAAAACCCTAGATGTTTAAACAAAATGTAGGCTTCCTTGAGCAGAGGCATTTGACACCATAATCAATCAGTTCCATAAGAATTGCTGAATTTTGAATATAAAATCAAGAAAAAAGGCTAGAAAGGAATTTGCCTATGCTGCTCTTCAAAGCAATCAATCAGGATTTGAAAAAGGACCTTCATCTGACTAACAGTTTCGTCTAGTTGCAGCTTCTTGCATTCTGGTGCTCACGAAAGGTCTGAGTGGCTATTAAGCAGACCAAAAGTTGGGTACCCATTCCCCCTACAGATTTTGTTTCTTTTTGATTGATAATAAAAGTTTCCTTTTAAGTCAGATTGAAGTAAAGGAGTAATTCTCTAGTTTGGGCAGTACGTCCACATTCTGCGTCAGGAAATGTAGTCTCATCATTACAGCCCACATCTAGTACACCTGTGTGGGCTTAGACTGCAATTCCAGTAAGAGAAGCCATCTTCCCTACGAGGCATTTAGGGGGCTCAAAATCAATTGTTTGAAATATTCAAATAAGGTATGCTTATTCTTCTGAAATCTAAATGCCAAATATAGTCACCCAGATCAATGAGTGATACTTCAAGGCAAACCATTTAATTAACAGCATATAGAGTAAATGGTTGGGCTGAAAAAGATAAGGTTTTTAGCAAGATATCTGAAAATATACAAAAGATTTATCAAAAGTTTCCTTCATGGGTTCTGAAACCACTACCTTTTGAGATTACAAGACACACAAAATATAAACCCTCAAATTACCCCATCTAGATATGGGCCCAAAACATAAATTATGTTATTTCATATCAGAACTGCCTCAAAGGCAAATGGTATTTAGATCTGGAAGTGTCGTTTATACTGATTTCTGTTCAGAATAACTATTTTAATTTGAAATTATAGAACTTGCGTATATGTTTAAGAACATTTACTCTGGAGTATATACTGCAGTCTAGAGCATTTTTGCTAAATAAAGTCTTAATAAAGTCTTAATAAAAGCCTCCATAAATGTTTGAGGTTCACTGATTTCAATACATTCTCTAGTATTTCAAATATTTTTACCACAGCCATTTTAGTACCTGTATATGAGGCAAACAGACTTGCCTGCTACAAATGAGCATTTGTTAGAGACACTGCCACCCTAGAGAACTGGTCACCTACAGATTTTACAGTGTTTATCAGGTTTATAAGAACACTGAAAACAAAGGAAAGCAAGACTAATTCCAGTCAGTAAAGCTGCAGCCTTGATCTCTTCCTGTTTTCTTTTGGTCCTCTCACTTCTAATCCCAATAATTTGGGGTGCATTGCTATTAATTTATATATATATATATATATATATATGTATCACATGAATCGGCTCTAAATCCCTTCTCTGATCTTGTCACCTAGGAAACAACAGATCCAAACACGATTGTCTCACTCCTCCACTTACGCAGCTTCCTCTTTTCCCACTGTACTGCATTTTTCCTAATTCCCTTCAGCACAAACAAATTAGGCTATGTTCTCACCTGTCATTCTGCTTGTACCCACCTCTTGTCTCAATTTTCTGCTATGCTGTATCCCCTGCTCTAGGACTAAAATACACCTGAGAGATCCTACACAACTTGTTTCCCTCTTCAAGCTAAATGCTTTCTCACTTTTTTTTTTAGCGTTCTTCTCTTTTGTGTCCCTTACAGACTTGTAAGTCATTCCTATCAATCAGCGTGTATCAGCCTATGGTTTGTCCACAGAGTTTATGCCCTTTCTTCACACTGCAAACACTATCTGGAGTTTTCCCAGCAAGAGATGTTTTTGGGGATTCCTGCACAAAGTTGTATCATTTCATTGAGTCTAGCCTCTTTGTTGGCATAGAGAAAATAATTCCCAGTAATACTGCAAAATAACACATAAAGAATCCACTACAGCCACAAGCCATAGTGAAGGTAGTGAACAAGATCATGCCATTAATGTTGTTCATACTTGCAGGAATATCATGTGTTTCTCTACAACCTGCCCTGTAGGCCTGTGAGTACACAGCTATACATATACCTACATATGCATGTGCATATACGCCTACTATACAATTAATGAATATACAGATGTTACGATACAGCAGAGAGCTCGGCTACGTAGCTGTTACACGAAAACAGGGAACAGAAATGATAGATACACTCACCCATACCCTGGGCTCGCTGGAGGGATCTCCAGAAGAGATCCTTCCTGCTGGTGGTCAGCTCTTAGCTGGGTCAAGGAGAGGTGCAGCCAGGCTCCACCACTTCCAGCAGTACAGCTGAATTGCCTTCACCTGTGCTCCTGTGCTGACTCATTGCTTGCCTCAGGTGATCAATCAGAGATTCAGGCCGTGATTCAGCAGTTCCCATACACCTACATATATTTGTTTTTATGCATTTATGCATACATGCTTATAAATATGTTCACATGGGCACATACATCTGTTGGAAAGGTATGCTAAGCCTTGCAACTGGCTGGATGTGGGGAAAGAGACACAGAAGCTTCACATCATTGCACTGAGCAACTCCTGACAGCTTCTGGCTATTCTATTGAAGTATATTCCCTAAACTAACTAATTTTTCTATTTGTTTACTATTTGATTCAGTATAGTAATTATTTTAGAAACATTAATTATCATTATTGTGGTGTTTTTCATGACATTCCTCATGTATAATGTCACATTTTTTTCTACACTGAGATTATAGCAGCAGCCACTATGAGTAGGAATCTTGGAACCTTGTACAAAGCAAATGCATATGAGATGATCATCCTCAAAATGAGTATTTGCATGATCTTCTAGGATTGTCACTCCTGATTTCTGATTTCTTATTGAAATCACTGTGTTTTACCATGGACTCAGTAGTGTCAGAATTGTTCTATAACATCAAATTTACCTTATCCTTACCTTTGACTTCCCAGGCTGTCCTGTCATTGACTTCAGTTACTGTGACAAAATAAGGAGATATTAGATTTGTAATAAACTTGAAATATGTAAATGTGAATTTGATTGGAAACATTGCATCTCAATGCTTCATTCGTAGAACCTGAAATTTAATACATATATAGTTATATGGATAAATTTAAAAGAAGAACTGACCTAGTTATTTCAGATATCCACTAAGCCTTTCAAGCCTTGTAAATGATGGTTTGGAATGTCTCCTTTACAGTCCAATTAAAACATATTTTTCACGTGTGGTTCTTTCTCAAATACTGGTTGGGTATCCAGCACCAGAATTTAAAAGACAATCATTTTGATACTTTAGCTTTATTTCTTACCTTCTCTATACAGTCTGAGAAAGCTGACAATGAAGACATTTTCTCAGCCAGGGTACAGCTCATTCAGCTCGAGATGACTTGTTAGCACACTTTTTATAAAGTTTAAGAATTTGTGGAAAAGCCATGATAACTGATTCTAGCTCAGTTTCCTCACTGAATTGTGAATACAAAATTTTACAGAAGAAGCTATGAGTTAACTAATGACACTTTCCTTACGTGGTATAGGGGAATTCAAAATAATATTTGCTACAAGTCAGATACCAGGCCTAAATCTAGGATTTTTGTCTGACAGTAAGTTGCAAGTGTGGGGAATTTTATTTCATTTCCGATACTAAGAAAAAAAATAGAAAGATTTTCAGGCTGACTTCATAGCCTTAGCTCCTAATTCTTTAGTTTCAGAATACGGTGAAATATACTTAAAGATTCTTGATTAAAAAAATCTTTTTTTTTCCCCTCCCACAAATTGCAATTCTGCAATTTTAGGATGATCACGACTGGCACGCTGTACTAGTTATTTTAACAACGGTGTTTTTGTAGGGAAAGAGGTAGGTGTAAAGATATCCTCTCTTGCCTTTCTATTTTAACTCATGACATCTTATCAGTACTTCTGGCAGCAGTGATAAGAATAGATTTGAAGTGGAAACTCTGACACAGGTGCTTTCCTCATTGATGACTATGATTTAAATGTTTACACTGAAGTTACTTGATTTTATATTTTAATTCCTGATCTGTCTCACTGTCCGTACCTCCATTAACATAATATTCAGATTTTTACTTCAACTCATCATTCAGAACTTGATATAAAAATATGTATCCTCTAATGATGCATAACTAGAAGGTCTTAATTGAAAGAAAATAGGCTCCAGCAAACATGCCATTGAACAGTCCTGTCTGTACAGTTCACTTTTCAAAACAGTGATTGTTAAAGTAAGTTACAGAAAAACAAAAGACAAATATGTATGAAATAAATGATGCTAAAATAATACATTTTAAAGTACGTTCAGTAACCATGGAATGATTACAGAAGACTTACTTTTACATCCTTAGGATAATGTAGTTTGCCAGGATCTGCATTATAAATGTCTTCACTGAATAAATTATCTCCTCTCCCTTCAGATGGAAGTCTGTAGTTTACCTGCATACAAATACACCATAAAATAAAGGGTTATAGAGTAAGTTCATATTAATTGTGCAGAAAGGATGATAAAGTTATTCTTAGTGTTAGGATAATGCAGAAGAAATACTATGTGTTTAGAAAAAAGCAAGCAAAGAAAAGCAATTCATTCATCTATACCAAATATTTCAGATCACATTCCCAGAGAGTCCTTAGAAAATGAATGATCTCTTTTTTCCCCCCTTCTTAGCCATCACTTTGGCAGTGATAACTGAGCCAACAAATGTTTACTACTCGTATGGATTATGTGATTTAATATTTGGCCATGACTCTGGCTGGATCTTTCGGTCGCAGGATTTTCTGGCAATCTCTTCCCACCTGCCACTGCTCAGAAATCATGATCAGAAGACATCAGTAGCTTTCTGTTCACTGTGATGGAAATTTAGAGATCTTTAACACGCACGTTACTTTTACAGGCTCGTGTTAAGTTTTAATCAGACAAACAGAATATATATAAATTATTTAGTTAAAAAGCCTCAGAAATATGATTTAATATCAGATACAAGTTCTGTTTGTTTATTAGCATTTTCAACACAGGACAGGTTATTCCATATTATAATAGTTTAAACTCAAGTTCACTTTTCATAAAATGAAACAAAACTTGACAGCAAATGAAATTTGCAGTTCTTTAAGCATGAGGTGTATACAGAATGGCAATGAAATAATACTTTTGTAACAGTAATGCAGTGAACAGCTCTTTCATAGCAGAACAACACAGGGATCCTATGAGATTTTTTTTTTTTCCCTTCTAAACTCTGTAATGATAAATAAAAGCCCTGGGAGGTGGTTATGATTTTACATGGAAAGTAGTTGTTTAATTTATTCAGTCTAAATAACTCAAGTCTAATTTTAACAAATGTAAAAAAATATACTCACTTTATGCACTTTTTCTATCTGATTTTGTGAGCTGATGTATTTCTGCACAGTGCACTCTCACCAGTATGAAGCTGGTCACAAACCAGTAGACTGTTGTTGACAGCTTTCTCAGCTAAATAAGTACACCCATGCTCTTGGTTATCTTGCAAATATGAATGTACAAGGTAGAAAGTGACTCTCTTTCTGTATCAATTCATGGCACCACCTAATGGCTTTTTAGCTTTCTTACCAACAGTTGTTTTAGAAGAGAAAAAAAAAAACATCATTTGTGTCTCCTGATATCCAAAGTTCCTCAACCCTTGGAACTGAAGGAATGAAATGATTTCTCACATACGCTGCCTCTTTTCAGTGTTATAACAAAAGCTGAATTATCACAAATACATGATGCCTGTGGGATAGTCACAGCTATCATAGGTTTACCCCACGGATACATTCTGAAAATAAATTAGTTATTTCAAAACAAAGGCAGCCATACAAATAAATGCAGTAAGTATGTTTGCACTGGCAGATGTGTCTGCAAAGTTTACTCCTCCTGCCTACTAACTTACTGCAAGGAGAAAATAAAGGGTAGTTTCAATTTGTAAGGCTTGGAATTCATTTCAAAACCGGCTTTCGCTCTTTGTAAAGCTTCTATACTAATGACCAGGAGACCATTTAATTGGTCTCAGTTTTCATTAGATGTGAACTCATAAGAGAATGTGTTTAGTGAGGCATCTTTGAAGAATTGAGAGTTCTACTTTTAATCTAACAAAGCTGGACTTTGCTGGATTTCAGTATTTCTGGCACTGCTATGCAGTTACCAGAGTACTTGGAAGGAGCAGGTGTGAATTATGAACTAGTAAGATGGATTAACAGAAGTGATGCGTACAACTATGGTACAAGCGAATCACTGCCACACATAATTGGTCCTGATGTTATTTACGGACCTGTGTATTTTTAGCTGTTGGCACGCTTGCCACAGTGGAGAGGGGTGGTAGATAAAAATAGAAAGAGTACTTTGAAAGGGGTGTTATTTTTACACTGAACTTCTCACGTTGCTCAACTGATGTCTCAGCATGACACTGAACACCCTCACAGGAAAAATTTCACCAAAAGACTACAAGATCTGGTCAGACCAATGGTCCATCTGTTTCTGCTTTCTCTACGGTGACCAGTTACAACTTTTCTGAGAAAGAGTGCAAGAAACAGGGTGGTAAAAAGCAATCCTAACGATCAGCTATTAAAGCTTTTTAGATCACTGAATTTAGTGACAAAAAACAGACATTTTCCCCAAATGTTTGTGTAATCCCTTTTAAAATCTCTCTGCTTTTGGTTTCCCAAAGCTCCCTCCAGCAATGAGTTCAGCAATTCAATTAAATAACATGCAAAGAAAGTGTTTCCTCCATCTTTAGTTTTAATTACTACATAAGCTTTTGCACTTCTGAGAAACAATGAATCACCATCTCCGTACTACTAATTTTATGCTATACTTACCTTTAATAATGTCTTTTGAAACAAGGCATGTTTCATTCCACTTCTCTTGTATGGAAACCATTACTTGTTTTTGATCACTGTCATTCACCGTCTCTGTGTTTTCTCTAATGGTACTCCTTTAGTCTTTGAAATGAATGACCACAAATACACCTATTTGAGATTTCTGAAACAGCATCACCATATTTTCCTGGTTTGTTCTCTACTCATAAGATAATAGTTGTAATATTCAATTTGTCTCCTCTTGTCACAGATGATGGAATTTTCTGTACAAATAGCTCCCAAATCCCTTTTGTGATTATCAACAATTTTAAGTTCTCTGTTTTGTATTTTCCCTTCAGGAAGCCTCCAGAGATTTTATTTTCTAGCTGCTCAGCACTGGCTAAAACTTTCTTCTTTTTCTTCCTATCTGCCACAGTTGTGATTTTGCTGTGTAGATTTTTATGTTTTGAAAGCTTTCCTGCCTCAGTATTTACTTCCTTTACATGGTCATTTGTGAATAGTTTGTACAGCTGCATTTGGGTCTCTGTAGATCCAGGGGGACCTCATTGAGTATTTTCTTCATTATTTGTAAAAACTGATCATTTACTTGGATCTCTTGATCAGTTGCTATACCATGATCTTCCCACCGTCAGATAGTTTAGCTTCTTCAAGAGCTTTCAGTAAGGTACTTCGCACAAAGCATTTTACAAGTCCAAACATTTTATATTCATGCTCTCTACATTTGTCACACAGTTTTCATTCTCAGTGTTCAGTTCATGTTGACTCTTTTCTTTCTTTCTTTCTTTCTTTTTTTTTAATTTATCCAGATGTCTACTAATTCTGTTTTACAATAATTTCAATCAGTTTGCCACTCTGTGTTTTGTAGTTCCTCAGATAATATCGATGTTCATTAAAAAAAAAAAACAAAAACAAAAACTGATGATATTTATATCATCTTCTGCTGTCCTTCCATTTTTCCCAACTACATCACATGTGATATTTATAATTAAATGAAGACAAATATGAAATCAAATAGGTGAAGGACTTTGAATTCAGAAGGTTCTGAAAGAAACCACCCATTAAGAGGATGATATAAAGGAACTGCCAAAATAGTAATAATTAAAGTGAACCAGAAACAGAAGATGAAGGACACTCTTACCTAAATTTTTTCATATCATACCATAATATATTTTTGAACAACATGCATTATGTAAAGGAATGCTTTCTTGGCTTATATGAACGCTCTATCCAGAGACTGAGAAAAGGTGATCAGGAACATCAGTAGAATTTTACATATTTCCCACCATATAAATCAATCATTACTTTTGTGGCATATAGAAACAAGCGGCAGCAGCGGAGTTGTGCGCTTTCCCTTTAAGAGGAAGAAAAGTCAGACTGTTACCAGAAACTTATAACTGAACTCAAAACTGATAAATTGCCTATAAAGATTTTAGCATTCCCAGAGAGCATGCATACCTTTTCTGTTAAAGAAATTCCATCTGAAATTGTTCCCAGCACAGTCAGCTATAAATCCCAATACCAGATGGTTGTTTGCTCAGCCTAGGACAAAGTACTGCAGTATCAAGAACAGTGCAAATCCCCTGAATTCCTTTCCATCTCCCCTGATAGGCAAGTATCACTCAGGTCATGCCAGAGGCACCAGACAGGACTCTGCCTCCTCTACAGCTCAGAGTTGAGATTTTCAGACATGCCTTGCGGGCTTAGAAGCTTAAATCTCTCCAATTTCCTAAGGGGAGCTGCATCATAAATGCTGTAATCTATTGGAAATACGTCTTCAAAGTGTTTTGTCCTTAATTAAAAAGTTGAATTCTTATCTAGAGACTGTTTTTGTTAAAGATTTGAATAGCACCACTGACACTACTATATGTTTATATTTTCAATGATGCTTAGTCAAGGTAAACTCCAACTTCAGCATCAGCAATTGCAGAATTATCCTTCTCAAGTCTGAATCATATGTATAATTCAATTTAATAATTGTTAATTAGCCTACTTTCCAAATTAACTTTGAGGCATTGAATCAAAATTCCAGATGAACTGATAAATATTACATTTATAGCTACTTCAATTCTTTAAATTAGCACAAAAGCAAAGTGCTTTCAGTTGTCAATAGAAAAGTCAAGAGAATCTGCTGAGTTTCACTTTTTGCTGAATACAAGCATTTAGAATACATTTTCCATGAAACAGATTTGAAAACAAGGAAGAAATATTAGTAGACAAGTAAGGTTTGCATTTGCTTAGATTACTGAGCTGTACAAAGTAACACAACTGCGCTAACGGCCAATTTAGGCACCACATACAAAGTATATGCTTAAAAAAAGAACTAAATATCTCTCACCTGTATATTGGAAGATTACTCTGAATCTCAAAACGTAGATTCCATTCAGATGAAAGTATATAATACTATTATTTGGTAAATAGACATGGTTTTGCAACAAATATCTGCATTCTGATACTGTCAGGTCCCTTTTTTCTTTTTATTTATAGTGTTGAAGTCATGCATGAACCATTGCCTTGATGCAAATGTCCTGTTGAAAAGCACCTTATCAGGCATGATGGGCTCTGCTATCGCAGTTCAGAATTCTCGTGATTAGAAAGCAGCTGCCTCTTAATCATTTTTTACCTAATGAAAGCAAAGCAAATAGTTACAGTCTGCTTGTTAGTCTTCAGTGCTGTATATTTCTACTAATTCCTTATCACCACTACTTGAAAGACCACAAGGCGTCATAATCCATCATACAGCTTCAGCTTAAACAAGATGAATTTTGGAGCAAATTTCCGCACTGATTAACGAGTTCATGCCTGTTAGAGCAATTTCACATTAAAGGTAGACCCCATGATCAACACCTCATTTTAACTTGGCAATAACAGAATAATTCATTTAAAAGTAGTAATGAAAATCACTTTCCCTCAAAGCTCTAATCCAAAGCCCTCTACCTAACCACAATTTTATCTTCATGTATGTCTTTGGGAGTCTGGCATTTCACATGTGTACACAAACCAGTACAGATCTGCAATGGATAAGAGCTCAGATCAGAAAGTCAAAAAACAAAAAAATACTGAGCTTGGTGAAGAAATACTCTTGGTAAACTATTAAGTGGGGAAAAAAAAATACTCTTTAGAACACACTGACTAGTAAACAGAATGGAATGTTTTCTCCTAAGATATCATGTCTATAACATCCTGTACTGGTCATTGTTACTTTTGTCTAATAAATGTCCCACTGTCAAGCCAATGTCTCACTGATTTCCATAATTTACACCTTGCTAAAACATCACGTCACATTTTCACTGGTGAAATGTATGCAAGTACATTCAACTTGTTAAGTTTCTTTATGTGTTACTGGAGCAGTGAGCAAACTGGATTTTGATTCTCACAGAACCATCACTAGGCAAAAATGTCACAGTTTCTCCTCCTTAATGGCAATACACAGTACAAAAACATTCAACTAAAATCAGTGGCTCATAGACTGATGAGTTGCTGTTACATCACATAGAAACTGACTTACAAAAGAGTGCTTTATATAGGCTTTCTTAGTCACTTTTTAAACCAAATGAGTAGATTTATTAAAAAGGCAGCTAAATTACAGAACTACTTCCCTGAAATCACACATATTAGGCAAATTTATCTTAGCATGCTATTCATATCACTCTTCAGCAAAGGGAAAAGGAGTAAGGACACCCCACGTGCTACAACTACAATGACAATATAGGAGCTATTTGTTTATAGTCATTTGCATAGTGCAGCAGATGAAAAAGGAACATATGGCACGTCTTCCTGGCTTGCTCTGTCCTTTGACAGCCTTTTAGCTAGTCACGAAGCAGGATTCCTCATGCTTAGCACACTCACATACTACTCCGCCCTTGTTAGACTTCATACATACCTATCACTGTAACACTGTGCTTGAGGTCAACTGCTACTCAGCTAGGTGAACAAGCATGTGAGTACGAGCTTGATTCTTTAACATAAAACTAATAACTGATTAATAGTATTACTACTTTCTACAAACCCTGTATTCCTTTCAACTATACTAACTAACCTGGCAATTCACTAATTTATTAACAGAAGTATTAATACTTCTGTCTAACTGTAAAAGGGCATTAATATGGAAGACATATTAACACGGAAACATTTTCACGCAGCTGTCCTGACTCACTTTAGCACAGAAGTAGTTTTGAATTCCTTAACTGCCTCACTAAAAAAAATGCTTCCCTTATCACTTATGAATATGATGAAATGACTGCAAGCACATGTGTTCATGTTTACAGTCTTTTCCTCTTCCAGACAGACTAAAAAACTGTGGAACAGTTGCCTCCATCACTGTTAACCACACACGTGATATAAATATTCATGGCTGAGTTACTATCTTTATAGGCAGAGCCACTACTGAGACTGCTTACTAGTTAAGTATTTCCAGAAAAGAATATTCCATCTAATGTACAAATGACAATTATTCTAATAATGGCACATAAATCACTGTGCATGTACCAAATTAAATGAACACAATCTTGTTTACAATGAAACCAAACATCTTCCAGTTGATTCAGGAGTTTCTCATAATCAAAACATTTACAGATAGCTTAAGTAGTCTCAACAAAAACAAAATGATTTCCTTCCTCTGTGAGTGCTACTGATGCTAAATAACTACATATGAACTTATTTTTAGAAAGTCTCAATTTAAAGGCAACCAATGACAGAGGTAGTACAAGTCCTGCTATAGAAACCAACTCCAGTATTTGGATTGCATTTTGAATTTGACACAATTGAATTCAGCAAGAACTCTGTAGAAACTTCCAAAAAGACACTGGGACCATTTACCTCCTAAAAATATATAACATTAGTCTAGACTACATTCAACTTCAATATTACTTCCTTTACCTCACCTTGGTACAAAACTCTTCAACGATACTTGGATTTATTCAAGTATTGTATTTTACTTGCATGGAAATTAGCATTCATTTTAAACCAACATGAACTTTAATCATTCATCTGGATTGGAAAATCTGAGTTAAGTAGGCTTTCCTATATGTATAACAATTTCTTTTTTGATAAAGAATTTCAAACTGTGGTTTGTGGATCTTCAACTAATATATCAACAGTCAGGTGCTTTACTGTTCCTAAACAGGCCAAAGGTTATCAGCGCCAGTATGATTTGAACTAGAAGTTATCTGATAAGCAATCTGGAAAGCGATGTTTAAACAATAGTTTTAAATGTCTTATCCAGGAATTGAATATGTCAGTATTTATGAGCTAGGAATATCATAAAACTACCAGGTAGACTTGTACTATACAACATTGAAGTCAATGTAAACTCTATTTATAGTTGCCATTCTCTACATCTTGTGTTTGTTGAATGTGAGACTAATTACATTCTCTGGGAAAAATGAAATCTTGATTAACACATCATCTCTTTGGAAGCACTGTAGATTATGTGCCAAGTTATTTAAAATAGTATCTTTATCAGATTGTATAACTGATTGATTTTATACGTGAACAAATATTAACCATACAGTTTCTACATATAAAAGATTTGCTTACTAGTGTGTTTCTGGGCAGTTAAGAAACATTAGGACCTCTACAGCATTTCAATGTACTGGGGAAAACAAAAAACAAACAAAAAACCCCCCATCAACTCAAGAAATGATTTGTATCTTTCTGAACATGAGCAATTTCAAGGGAGAAAAAAGATCCAGCTGGTCTAGTACAAAGGATATGCATAGAATGACCCGTGTAGTCTTTCTTTCCTATAGGGGTTGAGGGGCTTCTGAGGAAGAGCATGGACAGCTCATCCGCACTTATGAAAGGTGCGAACTGCCTTTGAATTTGCCTAAACTACCTCCTTTTACATGTTTTTCATCTGTTCTCTGGTGAGCTTCCTTTCTTATTCATTGAGAAATTACCCAAAGCTTTTTCATCATCGTTCAGATTTGTGTCTTTTCCTAATTACCTCTTTCATGAAACAAGGAATTGTATATTGAATATATACTTATATTGAATATATTGAATAGTATATTCAAATATATTGAATAGTATATTGAATAGTATATTCAAAGATTAATTATGGCAACAGCTTGAATGATACTGATTTGTCATATACTGATTCCAAATTGCATTGCAAAAGTATCTGCTTTAAATTCAAATAACTATGCAAAACAACATTAAGAATCAGGAAACGAGCACGTTTGAACATCTTACCTGGCTTATGCAAAATGCGTGCAAAGGATGGGTGACAAAAACATGTTTTTGTTTCTCATGCTCTTTTGCAATGAGCTCATGTAGATTCATCTCAATGAAACAAAGTTCCTCAGCAGTCACTTCTTACTATTGCTAACACTACATGCTTTTTGCTGTCTGTGCACAAGGTGGTGCTCTTCGCAACACACTGTAGGCAAGAGCACGAGAGCAAGATGCCTTACTGCTTCGCACAATCTCGTTAAGAAGCATAGGATTCTTTCCACCTAGTTTGACATAACATTTAATGAGATTTCAGAAACCATAGGATTTCATTCCATTCTCCAGATACAATGAGAAATGGAAGATCTATTACAAAAATGATAAAATTTAAGAGGTTAAATAGCTCTAAAATTAAAGGATACTTGGATTGAACTAAGATGTTCATATGACCAGAGAGTTTGGTCTCCATATTCTGTGTGAATGTATTGCACAGGAGTTCCTTCGCAATTTGGAGATTGAGAAGTGAGCAAAATTCACTTCTCACTGTGCTTT